AGCAAACAACAAGCACAGTTCTCACGCGGCAACTTTCCGCGATCATAGAGATTAAGGCGGAGCTCCTTAAAAATAATAAGGTCCATTAAAATACATACGTCAAGTATACAAATAATTATCTAATGCAATTCTTCTGTAATTTCATAGTACTACACTGTTTTTTTTCGCAACATGCAAGGATCGATTTCAAATTGTGCCGAATTGAGCAACGTTCCAGTAAATGACCAACGGTTGTACACACGTCGGACCATTCTGTCGGAGAACATTAATAGAACAAAGTTGTCCAGGGAATTTGAAAAACATTCGAAACGTTCACAGCTCTATAATGAAAATTCCGATGACGACGAGGATGACACAGAATTTTTTAACAATATAAAAAAGAAAATTTCCAAAGAGGATGCACCGTAAGATCGCACAAAATGCGAAGCGTAAAACCGGTCCCACCTGTGCATTCTTGGCTTCCTTCTCAGGCAATATCCAGTGGTGTATACGTCGACAAGGAAGACATCGCGGTTGGACGAAAATTTCTGGAAAGTTATGAAAAACTTTAAACAGAACCTAAAGAAACAACGGGAATGTCGAGTGATCTCGCCCCCGCAAGAGGCTTTTCGGAAGAAAGAACGAAAGTCGAATTATCCTTCCAATTCATTTGAATCTGGCAACGAAGATGCTTTTTCCAGTTTGGAACGGCGACCGCCGGATTCTGAGATCAATTCTACATTGGGGTATTACATACATCTATGTACCTATATAGTCATGTTTAATTTAACGAAATATGTACTTAGGTTAATTAATTCCAAAAATATTGCTCAAAACAGGGACGGTTCTCGAAGAACGTCTACGCAAGCACCTGTTTTCTCATTATCCGATGACATTACTTTGTCGCCAACTGTTCTCTCTCTGCGAGACGAACGCCTCGAAAAAGAAATAGAGAAAGAAGTATATTATATTTCAGCAAATCGGCTAATGGATCTTTGCGAAAAAGTGAATGTACAGAGTCCTACTACTTCGTTCTCGCATTATCCTTCCCTCATAGCTTCCTCAATAATTTCACCATATCGGCAGTTCGACTCAGAACCAGAATAATTATTAAGTATAAAAATTGCAATGTATGTACGTGGTTCTCGGCTGGATATAAATGTTACGCAAAAAGTAAAATAAAATTCAATAGTGGATAATTGTAATTATTGTAAGATCCGAGTAAGGTCTTTCGTTCCGATTCGCTTTGATACACCTGCTGCAAACCCCTGATGTTCCTCTACACTACGCTACACAAACTTAACACCATACTTGAATTAAGGATACGAAACGAGAAGTCCGGGAATCCGATCAGAAGCGATTGTAGCACCATCTCAGGGTAGCGATTCGTAATAGGTTCTCACTGACATACATCTTTTTTTTTACATTCTTAATCTCCTGACTTGTTCGGATTTCATTAGGTTTCAGCAAAAATTCCTTATATTTGGAAAGCTCAGGATGAAACCGATTTCGCAGCATCGACTTCAAAAGTGTCTTTGATCCCGTTGTCCCGATTGCTGTGCGATTGATTGCGTGTCCAGTATTCTAATTGTTTAGTGGGATAGCACGTGCTACGATTTGGCACGGGTTAGGTATAGTTAAGATGCCATCCTTGGGCAGTGGCGGCCGTCATTTTTTGCCACCCCAAGATAAACCTCATATATTACATTAATAACTAAGTGAGCGAGGATACTTTATTAGTTCTTCTTCATTGAGATCTATCATGGATAGTAAATCGTGCAACAATTTCGTAAGCTACGTTGGGTTTGAGGAGCATGAAATGCAGGTATACTGCCATTTTATACTTTACTCGTAGCAATCTTTATTATATCAGTACTTTGTTAAAGGAACTGATTTAGTCGTATTTAATTGGTCGTTCTTCATTTAAAGCCTCTTGGATCGAGTCGCCGTAATTCATCTTGTGAAAATGGGATAAAGTTGTTGCCTGGTGAACTACTTATTGCCAAAGCTCAAAATGTCCTCATGTTTTCACCTGTTGGTGATTCAAAGCAAGGGATGTCTGGAGTTTTGTCTGTTACTAACTTTAAGCTTGCATTTGTCACCACAGATGATACCAATGGCGAGGTAAGCATATCCAATTTGTATTTCTGTTGGCACTGTGATAATCTCATGCAATGACTTATCGTATACAATTTAGGATGCTACGCATCAGCAAAATCACCTTTATGGATATACAGATACCTGCTTAACAAATGTAGATGCTATTTATGTAATAGCAGGTGATAAAAAGAGGCGACTTTTACCTGGAAATCCAGTTCCTTCCAAAGTTAAAGGTATCTTCATTATATGCAAGGTAATTATAATGATCCTTCTAATTCTGATTGACACTTTCAACATGACTATTAATTCTTCTTCTTGGGATCATAGAATATGAGAACATGGTTGTTTTCCTTTAAATTTTCACCTCTGAAAGATGGCAAAAATTTACTCACTGCGTTGCTGCATCATGCATTCCCTAATAGTCACCATCGTTTGTTTGCATACGATTACAAGTGAGTGTTCGCAAACTCAACGACATTAATACTACAGCCATAAGTGATAACTGACAAGAAACAGCAAAATTTGACGTTTTTTTCTTTCTTTATGTTTTTCACAGAGAACCTTACTACAGTAGTGTGGACAAAGGGGTTCAATTATTTCGCGATATCTCAGATTGGCAAAACGAATTAGATCGGACAATGCGTAACAGAGGACAAATGAAAAAAGGTTGGAGAATATCCTCTATCAATGTTCAGTTCAAACTATCTGATAGGTACATGTATAATTTTGTATCTCTTATTATACATTTTATGGGGGAGTAAAAATGTTAACATTTTCTTTTATCTTCTTAGCTTACCGCAATATGTAATAGTGCCAGCTTCAATAACTGATAGTCAGTTAAACAATGCTGCGCAACATTTTCAAGGAAGTCGACCGCCGATATGGTCCTGGTCAAATGAACGCGGAGCTGCTTTGGTCCGAATGTCCGAACTACATCCCACGATAACCGAACGGACTCAGGAAAATACAATGTTTGAGAACATTCGTAAGAGCCATCCGCAAATATTGGCGCCGATAGTTATAGAGTTAAATAAAGACATCAGTGTAAAGTCAGTGGCAGCAGGTTACTCAAAATTTGTTAGCCTGTGCTCTCCAGGTAAGTAATGAGTGTCTCACGTTAGCGTACAGTGATATTACGGTTCATCTTGTGTCGTGCTATAATTTTCCCGATATTCAATCGATAAAGTGATGAACCCGCGCGTTACGTGCGCATCGGCCTAACAGTACAATTTGCTTTATGCTGTAGAGAACATCAGACAATTCTGGCTGCAAGACAATAACTTCTATTCGCTGTTGGAAAGTACCAGATGGCTCAAGTACATATCTTATAGCTTGGAAAAGGCTGTCGAAGCTAGCGAGCATCTCAATCTTGGAACCTCCGTAATCTTGCAAGGTAAAAGATGAATGTAGGAGAGCATAAATTATATAACTGAGAGGACACGTTTCCCGCACGTCAATTTCAGAATCAGGAAGTACCGCTGACCATTAAAATTCGACATAACATTCCCTCATCACGTTTCAAAACGCTTTTTTGTTACGCTCCATCCAGATTTTCGACTGTGTCATGTCACGTATCTCAGATTACCACTTCATTAATTGACTTTCCTGCTAATACTATTTGCAGAGAGTGACGGTAGGGATATGTGCTGCGTTGTTTCCAGCTTGGTACAGTTACTCCTCGATCCACACTTTCGCACTATAACCGGCTTTCAATCTCTATTGCAAAAGGAATGGATAGCCGCGGGACACCCATTTTGCGATCGTTTGGGTCTGGTAGTCAAGGCTGACACGGAGAAGGTAGGGGTTCAAAGAGGAAGATTAGACAAAGGACAGATTGCCAATCTGCTCGATATCTTTCCAGTCTCCTTTATTCCTCCTGTATCTGGACTGCGTTTGGCAGCTGTGTCAACAATTCCCAGCCGAGTTCGAGTTTACCGAGACCTACCTGACGACAGTGTGGGACGCAGCTCATGTCTCCATTTTCGACACGTTCATATTTAACTGCGAGAAGGATCGCGCACGGGCGGTTATAGTGAGTGAAGATCACGTTACGCACCGCGTGCTTTAGCGTATATGCCTATGGCTTGTTCTTTCATTTTATTTATTTTTTTTGCTTTTAGGATCCCAATTATCCTCTGGTACTCCGCAGTGTATGGGATTGGAGAGAGCAGTTTAATGATCAGGACATTCTATTGTTCTACAATCCATTATATAATCCTGAGACGTCGTGCACCACGGTAAAACCCCTCTATGCTATTCCTTGTTTAGAACTTTGGACACAATGCTATTTCCGATGGATTCCGCCGCTGGAGATCCGTAATGGCGGTAGAAATCACATAGAATTGTACACGAGACTCATTCAGAACGACATTAGTCGATTGAAGGTCAACGCGAACGGTAGTTGCGCTTCACCCGTCGATAAAATCACTACGTATTTGCTTCAGATGAACATTGACAGCTTCTACCCTTTTAGTAACAGGAATTCTGACAATACAACAATAAGTACGCCTATTATGAATAGTTCGATGCTCGTAACCGAGAGTCTCCTGGATGCGCAATCCTTGTTAAACGCTCCTGATTAATTAAAATTCTTTTGCTTTTTTTTCTCCTAAGTCTTGTAATTTTTATAAAGGCAGAAGATACGATTATGTGTATCAAACTGAGCCTACAGCAAGACGTTGATACGATCTTCGATGTCAATGTCACGGTGATATTTCGTTATTTGTTAATAATCGAGCAGCTTTACCTCTGTTATTCATTGTTTTTCTCTATATCTTTTACAACAGAGATAGCTTTATGCTATAACTATTTTTCTTTTCCCCTTTATTTTCCGTTTTATAATGTCATAATGTGGCCCATCCCGTTACGTAATTTATTCTTATTTATTGTGCAACAAGAGCTTATATAGATTTATCGAGGAATAATAATAATACAATGTAACTGAAATATTTTTTTAACGATATGGAATGGATATTAGAGAGAAAGAAGGCAATGCGTATTTATTCCTTTAATTCTAACCCAAAATTACTCCCCTTTTTCGGGATTTAAACTAAGTACTATAGAAATAATCCTTCATAATAAGGCTTTAATGCCAAATATTTAATCAAGTAAAAAAATAGTAGCACCATGCATATTTAGCTTTATACAGAATTACAAAAAAAAAGTATGAATTACAAATTTATACTTGTATCCCACGTGTGCGTGTTGCTATTGTCGTTAGCATATAAGTGGCAAAATAGGCACACCGTTTAACTATTCTTTTCGTTTATCTTAACAATGACACTCTTTACTTCTGTGTACGCCTCCAGACCATACTCGCCAAGTTCCCGTCCATGACCAGACATCTTATAGCCTCCAAAGGGTACTTGATTTGCCAAAATATTGTAAGTGTTGACCCTACAAAAAAGAAAGAAAATATCTTGCATAAATTCCAAAACAGTGATCTCTGTCAGAATAAAATATAGAATAAAGAAAAGATAACGGGGAAGCGTACCAGACTGTGCCCGCTCGAAGACCTTGGACTAAATGATTAGCTTTATCGATGTCTTTCGTGAAGACGGCAGCTGCCAATCCGTAGTCGGAATTGTTCGCACGTTTGATAACTTCATCGATTTGACTGAACTTCATAATCTGCTGAACTGGGCCAAATATCTGTATTAGGGAAAACAGAAGGAAAACACAGTTGCCGTTTAGTAGATCGTTAGAAATATTAACATGTATTGCTACCTCTTCTCTGGCAATGGTCATGTTATCCGTAACGTTAGCGAATACGGTTGGCGCTACGAAGTATCCTTTATCACCGATTCTGTCTCCTCCGCAAACCAATTTGGCACCCTCCTTCTTACCGGCATCGATCATGAACAAAATTTTTTCCAGTTGATTGTGGTCCACCTGAAGAAAAAGAACAATAGAAATTTAATGCCAAGATGGGTCACAACTAGAAACACTTGCATGTATGGAAAAATTGTTTAGCACATATTCTCAACGAGGCGGAAGTCATTAATGGGACTGGGGACCTCTAATGATAATGCAAACCTTCAATTTTTTTCCTAAGAGAACTTCACGAAGTGTTCCATAAAATTAACAGATATTTTGATACCACGTTTGTAATGATTAATCCAACAACAAACGGGGAATTCGATTTAAAAATTTTCACATGCGTCAAGTTGAATATCAACATTTTCAGGTCTGATTTCTCCTTTAGTTTCATACTAATCCACTTCGTAAAGGTGGTATCAAAATGACTATTACGACTTTGAGTCATGTTTTACTTGTACAGTAATGTGAAATTCCAGTCCCCTTAAGGAATAAAGAAAGGGAACAAGCATACAGTACCTGTGGTCCTTGTTCGACTTTGAGATCGAATGGATTTCCAACGACTCTGGATTTAGCACGCACAGCACTCCTCTCGACGAATTCATCGTAAATTGCGTCCTCGACGAAAGTCCTAGAACCGGCGCAGCAGCACTGGCCCTACAACGGACGTACGTGTATCAGATTAGAATCCACATGGCGCTAATCTTAATGAATAAACAAATGCACCGTGCATGGAGCTTCTCAATTAATAGGCACAGAACGACACAACTCGATACAATGTTAAATCATTTGCTGTTATATTAAAAAATCTGTTACAACCAACCAATTGTCAGGCACTTTTTCGCATCGTGTTTAATTGTGCCTCTCAACTGGGAAGCTCCCATAACGGGGTTACCATATTGAAGAATAATCCAAAGTGGGCAGTTTCAATCGCATGATCCAAATCAGCATCTTTAAAAATGACATTTGGTGATTTTCCACCCAGCTCCAACGTGGTTCTTTTTAAATTGCTGAGAGCAGCGCCTTGCTTTATCAACTTTCCAACTTCTGTAGATCCAGTGAACGCGACTTTGTCGACATTAATATGTGCAACTAAAGCCGCTCCAGCCTTTCCGTATCCAGGAACAACGTTGATTACGCCATCAGGAAATCCTGCCTCTTTGCTTAATTGTGCAATGTATAGTGCAGTAAGAGGAGTCTGTTCCGCGGGTTTCAGAATAATAACGTTTCCTAAGATACACAAAGACGTAAATATTGTATCGTCTAGAAGAGAGCAAGAAGAACAATTGCTCGTGTGCTATATCCATGAATACCAGTGGCAAGAGCTGGACCCAGTTTCCAAGCCATCATCAGAATGGGAAAGTTCCATGGAATAATCTGACCACATACACCAACTGGTTCATGTCTAGTGTATGCAAAGAATTTTCCGTCCATAGGAATGACTTTGCCATGATTTTTGTCGGCCCATCCTGCATAATATCTTAAGGTGCCAGCGCTTGCAGGAACATCAAATTCGTAAGCAACCGAATATGGTTTTCCATTGTTCAGGGTCTCTAAGGACTTCATGAAAAAGAAAAGAATTACTATAAGAAGATGTAACGAGTCGTTGCGTAAGTTGAAATGTTTACCGCAAGATATCTGCGATCACGTTCCAAAAGATCAGCTAAACGATTCAGTAAAACTCCCCGTTGCGACGCATCCATGGTTCGCCATGGGGATCCTAACCTGAAAGCCCTTCGCGCTGCATTAACAGCCTGGTCGACATCAGCAGCATCGCCCTCCTGCACTTCTGCAATCTCTTCTCCAGTCGTCGGATTGATCGAGGGAAACGTTTTACCGGATATTGATTTATGCCATTCATTGTTAATAAAGATCTACAAGAAAGAACTCATGTAATAATTTACTGTAATCAAAAGCACGGAATTATATCAGTGCTTATGGCCACTGTGTGGTCTCTCGTGGGGACGTTTCGGCTCTCTACTGTTCAGGTATTCTAGGAAACGCTTCGCCTTGCCAGATATCAGAAAACTTTTACTGCAGTTCAGACTCGAGAGTGCGCTACTCAAATATCAAACGCTGAGACATTTTATCATCAGGTAACTACATCTATAGCTATACATATGCAGTGTCGTATTCTCTCCATGGCAATGTGTGTTATAGAGTTCCATCTTTCGATTGGTTATAATACGTCACAAGACACATGCGATAGTAAGGAATACGAGATACTTATAATGAATATTTGATTAAATCAAGAATTATAGGTGAAACTGCAGAATACGACTCCTTATTGAAGGAATACGTGGTAAAAAAGAACTAAACAATCTAGTATTCTGCAGTTTAGCCATAAGCAATCCACAGCAAACTTCAAGAAGGAGTCTTATTTGCAGTTTAGACGAATTATGTAAGCCGAGAATGTGCAGAATTCAATTTTTCTGTTCAATTGAATGCTGCCAGAGTGTTAAAGGATCGGCGCTTAAAGTGCCGTAGAATATAGATTCTTATGGCACAAGTAATTTCTTTAGGTCGCATGACATGTTAATTGCTTATGTATCTTGTTACTGTAACTCACCCCTGTATATAAGATGGACGGATTGGTTTCTGGATTGGGTATAGTCGCTGCCGTGGAAAATGCTCGTCGCAGATTTAAACCCTTCCAAAGACGCAACATTGCAACCGATTACGAAAGAAAGAAAGAGAGAGAGAGAACAAGGGAGAACCTCCGAAAGGTGAACAGATATTTTGTGGAAATTGGTCACGCGTTAACAGTGGTTAGCAATTATTCTGCCTCGATCAAATTCAATCACATTGGAGTAATTAAACTGCCCTACCGACATGCCTACCGATATCTAATCGGCAACACTGATTGTGTTCAGCACAAATATCGCTGAAGGAGCAAATGCGTTTGATTCGTCATTTGCAACTGCAACAGTATGAGATTTGACCAATCAAACGTATTTGCTACCTCAGCGGTGCTTCTGCTGAAGAAGACATGTACTGTTTTGAGAGAGAGAGAAAGAGAGCACTGCTTATCCGCAGCCTCCTAAATGTGAGCGTGCGTATTCGTAGGCGCGCTCTGGATTTGAACTGCGTATTCAACTCGTAAATTTCTTCTTTGTGCATTAGGTAGATTAAGCATTATCAATGATTAAGCCAATTTTATTTATTAAATTTAAACCATTTGAACTTGTACATGCATGTCATACTTACATAGATTTTTGTAATACAACTCCAAGCGATTTCTAAACTTTTGTTATCTATTATGATGACAATCAAATAAACGCACTTTGCTTCGACTGCAAGCTTCGCTCTTCAGTTCGATTACATGGATGTACACAAACATCAAGAAATTAAGAGATATGAGCATGAGCTACCTGCTCAGAGTTAGGTAGATTTTCTTTTTATATTGAATTTTCCTAATTTTTTATGTCGAATATGATTCATTCGTGACATCAACGTGTACCTGCCAGGAAGACAGAGAACCAGCAAGTAAATCTTCATGAAGCTGGGGAAATGGAAAGCAAAGTTCCAGGCATTTGGCAGGCCAATCGTAAACTTCTGTGTCTCCTCGAAGTACGGGATATTCCTGATTATAATGATGTCTTCGCACAAAAATGCTAAAGGATAAAGGGGCATCCATATTGTGTGGCGTAGCCACGTTAATAATGGAATTTCGAGATTTAATAGATGTACTATGTAATATAGATATCTAACCATCTCCGCCGTGCTCCATATGAGAAACACATAGAATACTACAGGTTTTTCTTGCATCCGTGGCTCGGCTTCCATCATACAGAATACAATGAATGCACGACTGCTCACCTGCAGGAATGCGACCAAGGTGCTTCCGTTTGTGTAACCAAACAGGGGATGCATCGCCTCGAGGAATCGAAGTAATTGAATGAATTTCATTGGATTTCCCACGGCATCGTACGTTTCCCTCATGGACTCTGAAATATAGTATCGGAATTGAACATCATGCCTCATCTTTATATGGTGATGCGTCTACAAGTCCATACCGACCTGGGCCGTCCCTCGAATATCTTATGCCCATTACGGCAAGAATATAAATATACCCGACGAATTGACAGAGGTCGTAGAAGATTAAATAAACCTTTTTTAGATCCTCTGAAAGAGATGAATGATTAATTGCTATTATGTCATTGTACATTGAGCGACGAGCAACGAGTGGAAGGTCTGCAGCAAGCATAAAAACCTTTTCTGTAACCAAGTTCCTCCTTCTGTAGCCAATCGTACGTGTCAGGATAGTCCTGACATACATCGCGCTTCTCTTCTTCGTTGTCGTCCATATCTTGGCTTCTCCATTTGTCAAAATCAATTTTTAACCATGGTGGCTTTTGCGGTTGACTGGTTAATCGAGGCCACCAAGCATTGCATTGCTTATGTAGAACAATATCAACTTGACGATCTATCACCTTATAGTAGCTTTCCTAAAATGCAAATAAAAAGTCAATAGTTTTAACAAGGGTTTTTTGAACCGTACCATTAAAATGCTGTTCATGAGTTTCTGTATACAAGAGTTTCACCTCCGGGTCAATACAAGAATGGAAGTCCAAAGTGAATCCATAACTATGCGGTCCTCTGGCACCTTGACCGTGTGCAATAAATTGCAGTCTCTTGTCATCAAACTTTGCTTTAAGATCCTAGAAAGTAAATATATCTTGTCCACAATGAAATCGAAGAAGCAGCTTGCAAGAGCAAAATACATCAAGCACATTCCATAATGATGACAGAACCTTGACATCAGTTAAATCAATCTTCAATGTACATTGGGTCTCAGTTTGAGCCCAGTAGACAAATGGGGTCAGTACTTTGAGCATTTTTACTAGTCTGACACACGGGACAGGTACGGTTTAACAGGCGACGTTCTACGAAACCAGAATTTTCGAATCTGTATGTATACGGGCAATTGTAGATCTTGTGAATGACGTTCTTTTTCTTACAAATAAATTATGTTTCCTGGAGAACACTGAAGACATTTGTTACGCGTGTTTAGGTCGAATAATACAAATATATTGAACGCAAGCGCGACGGAGCACGAGCGCTGATGTGTGGTTGATTGTGGCCACGCGCGAATCGCAGTTGCAATTGCAGCAGACGATAGTGAGCTGAAACGGGCGGAAAGCGGTCGATCGTCCAATTACCACGGTAGTTTCATACAGCCCCTACTAACCTCCTCAATGGTTTTACCGCGTACAATCACGAATCCCCAAAACATCTGAGCGTCGTCGAACCATTGGGAGCAATTGGGAGCGCTCAGCAGTGCCAAGCCAAGCCAAGCCGGTTGCTATGAGTTGTTATCGCATCTGTAGATTACTGGTATGTATGTACATACTTATTTGCAAGTTACGTACTGAACAACTGAACCGTTGCCGAAGTTACCGTTCTTTATTTATACATACATGTATAAGCAGCAGGCATTATACATCTATCCCTGAATTCTAGGGTGATCGGTCAGAAAGACTCAATTAACTGACTGAATTTTTTATGAAGAATCATGGTCGAATATTTTCGTTTGGACGTGTGGAAAGGAGACTGGGGCCTGCCCTCGGTCGATTCTCCTTCTTTGCAGATTCTGGTACGTATTGCGATTAGGTTAGGGCATCTAGTAGCTTAGTTGCGCGTTTTGAGCACGTGCAACGGGACTGTTCCCTATTGACTATTGTTGTAGACTTCTCTATGGTGAAAATTGCTTGTGCGTTTCTTTGACAATCTGTAAATGATGAACGAGAAAGGCCTTCCGCTTAATTTATTATTGTTTTTAGGCCTATGCCAAGTTCAGTGGAGTGCCATTAGATGTACATGCGACGAATAATCCTTTTAGAACACCGAACGGGCAGCTGCCTGTATTAAGAAGTGGCCTCAACACTTTGGACTCAATAAACGATATAATAGCATTATTTAAACAGAAAAATTACAATGCAGATATCTCCCTGACACCTAGGCAGTGCGCTGAAATAGTGGCGTACGATACTATGATCAGAGAAAAGATTTACCCAGCATTACAATATATATGGTACTAAACTTCTTATTTCTCGTGCCGTCGTTACGCGCATCGATATCGCTACCCTCTAGACCTTTTATAGAATTATATATCTGCATTCTTCATGAGTGCAAGCGCGCAACTTCCTATATCGTAATTATATCTTATTACAGGTGGATCGATCAAAGGAACGTGAATGATCTAATAAGGCCTTGGTACGCGAAAGCAGTGCCCTTTCCGTTAAATTTTTATTATCATGGAAAGTACGAGGCACAGGCCAAAAGTATGATGGAGTCGCTATATCCTACCGAAGATAACAATGCCGTCATCGAAAATGGGGTAATTATTATTAAAATATCTGCTGTTTTAAGTTTAAACATTATCAGACTGACTCTCGATACATTCACTAATGTTTCGGTGGCAGGTCTACTCGGAAGCGCAAAAGTGCTTGACGCTGTTATCGACCAGATTAGGAGAGTCAGAGTTCTTCTGCGGCTCTCAGCCCACTTCCTTCGATGCCATCGTTTATTCGTACCTCGCGCCGTTACTGAAAGCTCCTTTGCCAAATCCTGCATTGCAGAATCATTTGAAGGCATGCACAAATTTAGCGAAATTCGTCTCTCGTATATCACAAAGGTACTTCGGGGACATTCACTTGGAGTATGAAAAGGAAAAGGCTGAAGAGAATGCACGTAAAACACGAAGGGATTCCGAGAGCGAGTTTCCTAATAAGAGAAGAAATCAATTTTTTGCCGGTGTGGTAGCCGTTCTGGCAATGTTAGGATATGCCCTCTCTTCGGGAGTGGTTAAGGTAAGTCGAACTGGTAATAATTAAGGAGTTAAGTCGATATTATCAACGGTTCCCCATCTCGCGGCCGATTGCAGATTCCGCATACGATGAAATCGTGGATACAATTTTTGTCATTCTCACATACGATCACACCAAATCCAACAGTCTTGTGGTCCTATGACAGATTTGTTTCGAATAAGCATCGATGGACGCTTGGTGCGTAAATATACCGCGCACGATAAGCGATTAGTACAGTTATATCTATATCTATGCATATGTATATGTCTCCCTCTCAATCCTCCAGTGTTGTATTCGATAGTTTAACTCGGTAAAACTTGTTTCTCCATTCTTTTCTTTATTCAAGGTGACGATAAAGGATGACGAGATGTTGGAGGCCGCATCGGAATACATTCTCGACGACCAGGACACTGCAGACTAGCCATTTCGCATAATAAATAGCACATTTTTTTTAGCAACATCAAATACTTATCAGAGTTTTATTCACGCGGTATTCCGCCTGGTTTACCACGTTATACATGCCTGATTTAACGGTCGAGTAGCATAGTAATTATGACGTTGTTACACAAGTATTTCCAATAACTAATATCTGACCGTCCTTCCCTTGAGTTCCCGTTCAATTATTTCGGGTTCTGTACCTTGGGGCTGTTCCAGTAGTGGCATGCTGCACTTCCTCGGCGAAGCTCTCAAAGTTGTGAATCGTGGTACCTCCTAAAATGATTTTCGTACCCGGGTTCTGCTTATTTAAATTGTGAACAGCGAGACTTTCCTCGTATGTCGTTCCGCCGATCATGAAGACTATAATGTCATGAGGTCTGCAACAAAAATCGAAAAAAAAGGGACAAGCAATCGAAATCATTTGATGCAACGTAAAAACATGTTAGAGGTGTCGATGCGGCGCATCATCAAATTTACCTTCTGCTCATAATCATATTTCCAAGATAAGGAAAGACTTGAGTGCTCAATTTTTCTTTTATCAAGTCTTCTAGCGTTTCAACAAGCAATGGCGTGTGTTGTGTGTAAATGTTATCTACTCCGCTCAATCCTTTAAATAATTTTTTGGTTATCTTTGCGACAGCCTCCCGATCGAATAGATTGCTTTGTCTCGTATGAACGCCGCTGTATTCTAGGACGTTATGTATAAGCTGAAATAAAAATATATAATCCGCGTCTCAATCGAGGATCCCAATAAGGATTGACAGAGAACCACTTAGTACCTTTGTGTACTTTTCTGGAACACCTCGTTTCTTGAGCATGTCGAGTAATCCCGTGATATCGTTGTTCGTGTGTTTCACGTAATGAAGAGCGTAAAGCATGACTAGGCGCGTCGCATCGATGTCTCGTATTCGCGGATTATTCAGCAGTCTTTTAATTTTTTGAAGCTGCAAAAGACATCGACGAAAGTAGAATTAATCTCCCGCTTTAACTCGACTAACTCTATTACTCGCCTTTCGTTTGATCTCTTAAAGAAAGTGTACCGCTCACCTGAGCGGAGTGTTCACTCTGACAACTGAGTTCCTGCTCCAATTCAGAGACTTTTAGTAAATCGTATTGCCCAACCAACGAAGATAATTCGCCCACCACCGTTACGTGTTTCGAGACCGTGCCTGACATTTTTTTAAACATTGGATATGTCTCTACGAAGTTTTTCATGTCGGCGATGGATTCGACCTTTTGATGCTTCTTTGCCTTCCTTTGGAACTCCTCCATCAGTTCCTTTATTGTCTGACCAATTTCTCCAAAATTGAGATACAAGTTCTGCGCTTCAATAGAATTTCTGATCAATTACTTGTACTTCAAAATGGTTACGCGATATAAATTGACGACTATAGCTATTACATTTGCATAAAATTCATCGTGTTCCCCGCTCAGTACTACTTCTTTTAGTTCTTTCGAAATCCCTTTGACATTTGACAAATCAACTCTGTTATTATTAATCGTCAGTAATTCATGCACCATGGCTTGATAGGTCCATTGATTTAATAGTGGTGTAATAGGATCGTCCCTTCTATCAAGAATAAGCAAAATTGGATTAGACTCCTGTCTAAAGTTAAAGGAGTTTGACTCCTTGCCAAGCACCTCTCGTATTTTTTCAGCTAGTCTTTTTGCCATCTCAGAACTATGCTGATATCTGATATACGGATATTTTTTCAAGGACAACAGCACAGAAGTTATGCCCTGTACTGTTCTGTGCAAGTGGGTTGGATTCCACGTTAAGCCTTTAAATAACAAATTGATGAATGAGAAGGCATTGTCCTATTCTGCACATTACGATAAAGTTCTCTTTGTGTTCCATATTACCTTGCGAGCATGCACTTATACCAAGTGCAAACAAGTGTGGACTTACTGCCAGATAGTCTGCATAAAACTCGTGAACTTCTCTTACTACTTCTTGCTCATCACTTTCGGCTAACAGCTTTATGTCAGCCTTTGCAATGATATTGCTGAAATCTTAAAAACATACATGTATGTATATGCACTTAGAACCCAACCGCATAGTTGCACTTAATTATTGAATTATTCGATAAAGAGTTTGGTACTAACAAATATAATATACACCATATTTAGGATACCTAAGCTCGTTACAGAGTAAAGCAACATTTTCTTTTGTCGGACGTATGAAAACAATGCATTTCAAGTGTTTTAATCCATCACTACGTACTGTAGCGTCTATGCGTTCGAATAAGTATACCTCTTTTAGAAGGATTTCCGATTGGCTGTATGCCAAGCTTACAATACTTGTCTGAAACAATTTAAAGAAATTGAAAATGTTTTATCTCAATGACAAGTCAGTTTGACAACGATAAGCCTACCGTTTGTTTGTCCATTAACAAGACTTTCATACCAGGGCCGCTTTCCTCAGTCATTTTAGTGATGTAAAACTTTAATGCAGTCACCACGTTCATTTTGATAAGGAAGAATATCGAGAAGGGTACTTTTTAATCGGCGTTTGCTGATATTTAAAGAACACTCGGCCACTGGCTACTACTGAGTCTGATAAATTGGGAAACGACGACACCGGTGCGGACACTGATCAAGAGATTTAGTCAGCAATCAGAAGTCATTAATCAGAAGAAATCAGCAATCACTGGCAGTCACCGACTGTCACGGAGATGGTGAAATCCAGTTTCGGTTGTGTTTGGGGATGTGATTATTTGTTGGTGGATCTCCTTATTGAAGGCGGGAGAAGACATTCCTCCATTAGAGTATGTGGCGCCATCTCCTTCGGTACTCAGGAAACTTGTCGATATCGAGCAGTTTCACGAGGTATTAAAAAGATGGCGCCCAATTGTTTCTTGAAGGAAGTATTGGTTACTCCATTAGAGTATGTGGCGCCATCTCCTTCGGTACTCAGGAAACTTGTCGATATCGAGCAGTTTCACGAGGTATTAAAAAGATGGCGCCCAATTGTTTCTTAAAGGAAGTATTGGTTACTCCATTAGAGTATGTGGCGCCATCTCCTTCGGTACTCAGGAAACTTGTCGATATCGAGCAGTTTCACGAGGTATTAAAAAGATGGCGCCACAAACGGCGCCCAATTGTTTCTTAAAGGAAGTATTGGTTAGTGTTGCCCAGTGTTGCCTGGTGTTACCTAGAGGATTCTCAAAGTCCCAATGGCCAGTGGACTGAGTGGGTCGTAGGGAGGTTCTACGTTGTTCTACATTGAAAGATGGCTGCTGTTTCACTGTTAGATTGCCATGTCACGTCAATTTTGAGTGGTGCCTCGGTGTTTTAGCTTGAAGGGCGAGAGTCTTGTCAGCTTTTGGGGCGAACTACGCTTGGTCGAACGATCAACTTCGTAAAAGATGGTTTAAGCCATAAAAGAGGATGAATTGTCATCAAATACTGAGCGGAGCCTGTAATGCAGGCGACCGCTGCTACGCCGTCGGCTCCGTCGAAGGAATATCCTTTACGGTGAGTTTTCCTAAGCTTTTCACCACTCTTTCGGGAATAATTGACTCCTCAGATTTTCTCCGTTCGGCCTCGTTCAATTTCCTGAGTGTACTGGCTTTCACGGGTCAACTAAAACGTAAAATAAAGTCAGCTGAACTAAAAGTCAATATGGAATATGATTAAGATTACCTCGAGTCAGCTGATTATATGACATCTTCGTACGCGCAGAACTAAAAATTAATTGGCCAATATAATTGGGTATGAATGTCGAATACACACGCTTCGTAGCCATCGTACGTCAATGAAACGTGCTATTAATAAGATAATATCAGTTATAGCATTCATTTCCACGCTACAACGTGCTCTGTGCTCCTTCGGCCGTTTCATTTTTCTGTTGTCTTGTTTTTCTTCTTGCCAAGTATTGCGATGCGTCGGATCGCAATTTATCATCGAGAGCGCTGATATTTCGGCATAATTAGGTACCTGAGTTGAAGAGGTTTCCCTATTCTTTTTTTTACTTCACTCGAGTCTCGTATTACTTTATGCTTCCATGCGTTTATTATTAACTGTACCCATTGCCCGTGCAGCATGAATACCTAAGGATTCAGGTATATCATTAAATGTATTGTACATTTTTATAAAAATTTAACATCGCGAAAACGTTTTGATGGAACAGTGAGTCATTGTTATCTTTTTAGTGCGTACGCTATCTCTAGCCATCTATATAAAGTAGCTGTAATCTCACTATAATGCCTTGTGATTACATATAAATAAGTATAACATTTCAAGGGACAAGTTAGCCGTATAATTTCTTTTTTTAATTTCAGCAGATGTCGTTACTTCTTTGGATTATCATTCCATCTTGATTTGATATTTTTCATTCGACAATGCTTAGTATGAGTAAAAGGTTTAACTACATCGGATACACAAGAAATATGGAAAGATTGGTTGTATAATGTCTGCTAATGTCATGTGGCACAAAAGTCTCATTATTTGTTGTTTCGGGCTATATAGGCAAGAGCAGCAAATGTTACAGAGCATTACGCATTTGATTATGTAACATCCACTTAATAGTAACTAATGTAAACTAGATCTGGCTGGTAAATATGTGGACGAATAAGGCATGCTATAAACTTCATGGCAAAGAACAGTCAATATTTTAACATCTATGCATTTTGCTGGAAATGTGATCAGAGTTTTCATTTGAGTAGGATTTAGATTACATTGGCATCTCTTTGAGAGTAGCACGTACCTTTTGATTTACTATCCTTCAACTTGGAGACTGTTATTTTTGTCAGTAGTAAACGTATAGTGACGGGGAAAAAAATGACAATTGCGATTACGCCATGGACGAGATGCTGTAGAAACGCAACGCAATACCGATGTAGCAGATCCTGTATTGTCAATGGTAATGTAACTGAAAGTAGTTGCTGTTGTAATGGGCAGAGTTAAACCAGTTCGTGAGACTGGAGCATTGGACTAGGGAAATGACGCAGATTGAAGAACTTGGCAATAAATCTTTTATAACACCGTTGTAAATCTAATTTTGGTCGCTCGTTTTCGACGCATATTCTTTGCCGTTGTCTCGATTAACGCCTATCGAGAGATTAAAAGTCGATGCTTTAGGGAACAAAAAAAAGAGAGTCGTCGATCTTTCAGTCCCGTAAATTGGCTCGGACAACTCCTGGAATGTGTTCTCTTATGGCATTATTATTTCTCGCAGGCATATGCGGCTGGTTGCAACATCGTGATACTCGCCAGCAACTTTGAGAGAGTTCAAATAATTCCTGGAGCCGTACACAACTACATTCGTATCAGCTGCTTGGACTGCAGTACCGACACGGGGAAGATCGCCGCTGCCTATGAGAATCAAGTGTGCATCTTCGAGCCAACGCCTCTTATCCACAGCACGTGCTCCCACGTGAGTATCGTCGACTCGATGCAGTCGAGGGTGCGGAGCGCTAAACACTCTCTGTTTTCCGACAAGAAGTATTGGACGTGTGATGTAACGATTTATGATTACAGCAATTGGAGTATCGATGGGTTCAGACCGGTAGTTTACAGACCGAGTCTCACATCAGTTCTCTCTCTTGGAATTTGGAGGGTACTCGGCTTCTGACTGGAGGCGAATTGCTCCAACTATGGCATCAAAATATCCAACCTTTCCAGGAGGAGCACAGTAAGCCACCATTTATCTAGTAGCTATTTTATTGGTTAGGACTGGTGAATATCAAATGCGACACCAATTGCGAGATCTTTCCTCGTTTGATCGAATCCTCTCGAAGTCTCTTGAGTTTACTGGATCATCCAAAGTTTTATTGAAAAATATTCTATATACAGCTGCGAAGATGAAAATGTTACAAATGGAGGAGATTGCTATGACCGGAGGCGAACAGAGCGTCATGGGTTCCAATCCTCAAGATCGTGAGTTCATTCTTTCGCAGAGAATGCACGCTTCGTATGAATTTTAAGCAAAATTAACCATTGCATAATGTCTCAAATAATTGCTACGAGCATGCGCGATATCTTAAACTGTCGCGATTGTTTCTTAAGCGTGGAATGAAATTGCCATGAGTCTTGGGCGAGGATCTTGCGTGAGTAATGAGTATGTTACGATTCATGTATTTTTGTTTTGTAGCAAGTACAGTAACGTTTTCGATTGGTGGCGAGTCGGAAAGTCCCGGAGGCGGAGAGTCAACTAGCGGAAACGAGCCTGGATCTTGGAGTTGCGTATGGAAATGTCGCACAGCCACACCCGTTCACCTGATGAGCTTCAGTCCTGACGGCACTCTTTTCGCAACAACGGGATTAAACGACAGACTCGTTAAAATATGGTTCGAGAACAAGCAATGTGAGATTACAACTTTATGAATGACAACCGATTATAATCCCCATCATGTCGCCTCAGACACTATACTATCCGTCTTTACAGTATTTCCATCAAGGAGTATGGACCATTCGAGCTTCAATCAAGCCTCTGGCGATAGTTACAGCTTCGTTTACGTGGCTCATCCTCGCGCTGTCACCCACCTGTCGTGGCGTAAGACCAGCAAGTACATGCCAAAGTGTGTAATTCAAGTTCCACCTCCCTCTTTTCGCTCTCAGTCTCACTCCTTCTAGTCTCTTGTCTTCTGATCGTTGTACAGGGGTTCGGTGTCGAATATGCTGGTTACATCGTGCCGCGATAACATTTGCCGTGTTTGGGCGGAAACGATACCGCCCGAGATCGAAGGGTTGGCCAACATGAGCCAATTCGAAGGATCCGACCGACATGGACATCACGGGAAACACCGTCATCATACCATGCACAAGCATCGCTTCATGCAGCGACTCAAACATATGAAGTATGTCATCTTTTTCTTCTTTTCTATCTATCTGTCTATCTCTTTTTTTCCTTTTTTCTCTTCATAATGTGCATTTTAGGACATGTTTTCATATTCGTCGACATGCAAAACAACAGCAGCAACGGCAATCCGGCCACACAGCTCCAACCCTTCCAACTTTACCGTCGACTTATTCTGTTCATGATTTTCACAACAGCTACCAAGGTTCGGGTCATTATCCGGGAATGCATTTCCATTTGGCGGCCAGTATCAACGCAGAGACGGGTACAGTAGTACGAATAAAATTAGCCTCCGTGTACATTACTCTCGTTGAGTTTCGGTATCGGTAGTGTTCATCGATGTTATAGATATACCGTTGGTACCGAGTCTGATCACTGGAGATCCCGACAGAGAGCCAAACTTCATTTTGCACTGGCTGAATAATAAGGAGATGCATTTTACAATGCAGGCCGAGAGTATTTTGCAGGTGACTTTATTTCCCTTTCCGATAGAAAAAGTTTCGAGTCAGTTGCATTATATTTCATTCATGTGTCATTTTCCTTATGTTCCTTGACAGGAATTAACGCGTAAGGTCGTTGAAAAGGAAGAGGGATTGCAGCATCAGGAAGCGGATCATGCGGATCACGATTCGGAAGATGAACACACGCCAAGTACGGTTAATAATATTCTCAAGATACTACTCTAAGGTTGCCTGAGGCTGAGCATGCGATATTCGTTGTCGCGGGTCCGCGAGAGCTGCAAATTACTGAAAACAAATTCTCTTTTCGGTTGTTCAATTTAAGCGTAACAAATCCTGATACTTTTGTTGCTTTCAATGCTTTCTTACGAACCTAATGTGTCCCTTTTTCGTTTTTTCTTTTTTTTTTCCCCCGTAAATACGCGTAATATCAGATTGTATTTGCGATCCGTAAATTTAGGCAATCGCACTGTACGTCGCTCGGTCATTGGATAGAAATACGCTTTCCTAGGAAGCATTTTGTTCTGTTACGGTGTGATGTGTCCACAGAGAAAGGAACTCGCCATCAATCGGGTCAGAGGGCAACGGGTGTGGGAGGTCGAACGACCAGCCAAGAAGAACACAGCAGTGACGAACATCATACGAATCATACGACTTCCTCCCATCACAGCCTACCGCATAGTGTCCAGTCTCACCAAAGTCTTAGGTGCGCCGGGGTTTTGGCTGCGTTTCCTCTTTATGTCTCAATGATATCGCGAAACATTGCGATTAATATATTTTTCCTTTTGATTCCCTTGTAGCAACACTACCTCGATCAATTCGATAGCCACCGATGCGGCCTCCTCCATGAATCACGCTCCAGACTCTCTGGATACGAAGATAGAGACGCTGCTACGCGACTGGCATCACAATCCAGACCTTCTATTCTCGATTCATCCGATAGACGGAAGCTTTCTCATTTGGCACATAGAGTGGCTGGACGAATATCATCCTGGATCCTTTCGTCAAGCTCAAATATCATTTTCAACCCGAATACCGAACGCTTTTCCTTTGGGCGATGCGTCCACCATGAGTCATAACGTCTCCATGTATTCTCATAACACCGGCGGTCCATTGCTCAACATACGGGAGGTCGCCAAGAGTACGGCGAAGCCCACCGAGTCAACAGAGGTAACGACCCCCTTGCCCAGCTTGATTGAGCAGGACGAGGAACAATCCACCCTGACTTCTCGAGCTGGTCAAGAGTTGTTGAAGAGCGTGCAAAATCTCGCCGAACAAAATCAAAATGATAATAATGCCGGGCACAATAATGCAACTGCACTGGATAATGGGAAGCACGGGCAGGACAACGTAACGGATATGTTGGGGCATCCGAGTCCCATCGTTTCTATGGTATCCAAACACTCGAACGGGACACTGAATTTGTGGCAGTTAACATTCGCCGATAAAACGAAATTCTCTCAAGTATTGAGCATCGGCCATGCATCTAGAGCCTCTGGACATCGGTTTCGTGTAAATGATATCACGTGTCATCCTGTGTTGCCTTTACTCGTGACGACGTCTCATCATAATATACCAGAATTCCCTACGGCGCAGACTCCGCTGTCGACGGAGAATATCGAGCACATGGAAGGTATGGAGGACAAGGAGGACTCGAGCAGGAGCAAAGACGTAATGTCGCCCACCGGCTTTTGCAGTGAATTAATTCTTTGGCGAGTGGACGCCGTTGGTCCGCTCTCCAAGAGCGGTGGGGTTTCCGAGCTAGCACGTATCAATTCTCCTGAGATATCGGCATTCAGTAATGTCGCTTGGATTCCTACCTTGTTGCCCAGTACCACCCTGGGAAACTTGTCGAATTCTCCGAGCGCCTGCTTTGTAGCCAGTGACGGGGAATGCCTTCGTGTTTATCAAGCTGTCATCGACGCAAGAACACTGCTGGCTGAAGTTTCTATAAGCGAACGAAGAAGTCGAATGATGGATTCGATGGCAAGCTTGTCGACCGACACCTCCTCCGATGATGGAATTCGACACTCGATTCACGACCGAATTAAGATAGTCTCGCAGCAGTCGACCGCGAGACCCGGGTGCGTCATTCAATTGGATGCCATCGCGGATGCGACCCACGATTGGCAGAATACGCAGTTCCTTCACGTCTTTCAGGAGCAACTGATAACCGGCGAGAGGAACGACGAAAAACAGCCCGGTGTCGAGAATTCAACGAACGATTTGGGCTTGATGGAGTCAACGTTGGATGCCATGGTCGATCTACAGCAATCGGCTATATTCGAAGAACCTTTCTACATCGTGGTACTCGAGAGAACGGTAAAGGGAACAACGGTACACATGTGGCGATTGGTCATAGCTTCACAACCCGAAACTACTGGACTGTCCGGTTCGATGATGTACGTGCCGGACTCGCATCTGGTTCAGGACGAGGACGAGGAGGGAACTCCCGGACGGGCGAATAATTACGAGGGCGGAGGAAAAAGATCTCGCCGACCGAGCCAGACTGGAAGCAGGAGCAGACGGGAGAGTCAAGCGGACTACGATTCTACATTCGTCCATAGACGTAATCACAGCAGCCACGTTCTCATCACAACCACAAAAGTTTGTACTCAGGAACTTCCACTTCCCGAGGGCATCGAAGTTGTGCACGCGGCTCCGGCTGCGGGACACCTGAGCAGCTCCTCGATATATCCGGCCTGTTTCGCGCCCTACATCGTGGTGACTGCGTGCAGCGACAGCACCGTTAGATTCTGGAAGTGCAAGGTGACAAAGAGCGAACTGAACCGAGAGCAGCAAAAGCATCTCAGTTACGAGTGGTGCGAATGGGAAATGATACGCAAAGATCAGGAATCTACGATTGACATAACCGGTCAGCCGTTAAACATAAGCGCGGCCTACAGCGGTCGCATTGCTTGCGCTTACAAGTATGGAAAATCATTTACGCGTCCAACGAAAAGCGATCCTGACTCGAGATATGTGAATCTGTGCGTGGCGATTTACGAGTGCGAAAGCACCGGCGGAAGCGAATGGGTACTGGAGGACACGATTCATCTGAAGAACATTCATCTTCCGCGAATACAAGTTGATCAGCATCTGGATCTCAGTTATCTCTATGACAGTAGATTCTTGCAGAAGAAACAGAGGCTGACGCAGGTGTTGCAGACTCTCAGCCACGAGGACGTCAGATCGCCGAGAAACGGAGAGAACGGAGAGAGCACGAAGTCGACTGCCGGCTTGCTTGCCGTTCCCTCGTTCAGCACGTTACAGTCGCTGCGCAAGTCAATTATCGAAAATGGGAATACTTGTCCATTGACGCAGAAGCATCTGGTGCAATTGGATTGGGTGTCCAAGGAGGATGGTTCTCATATCCTGACCGTCGGCGTGGGTTCAAAGATAATGCTCTTTACGCCGGTCTGCTCGGACTTGGCGCAGGCCAACATGAAGGCCATGAAAGAGTCTCAGAGTAACAACAGGCCGATACTTAGGAAGACCTCATCCCTGGCACAGCCACAGTTTGTCGACGAAATACGTTGGATGAAATTGAGAAAAATCGAGTTGACCACTGCGGACGGATTACCGCCTTTGCCAATGCAAATATCTTGGGTGAGAGACGGCATACTGGTGGTCGGGATGGACTCCGAAATGCACGTATATTCTCAGTGGAAACCGAATCCAAAAAATGACTGCTTTCACTCAAATCTTCAGCACCAAGAATCCGATGAGTTCCAGGCTAGCAGAAACCTGAGGGATGAGGATTTGCGTACTCTCGCGCACGAGACTTCCCAGAGGCGATTGGCGAACGTCTCCTCCATGCCACATCTCTCTCGTGTCAGTAGCATCAATCTGACGATGCTCGACGCCAAGAAAAAGCGGGGAATGCAAAATGACAATGCCAGCTTCGATTACATGCCGGACTACGGGCTGTTCGAGGCCTCGAGAATAGCTTGTCCCGTGCTACCCCAATATCATCCGAAGCAGTTGATGGAGCTCTTGAATTCGGGAAAGATTCGATGGGTCAAGGCCATATTAGCACACCTGGTCAGGTCGATTGCGAGCTCGTGCTCCCTGAGAGTCGATGACGAGAATTTAGTGAAACAACGCGGAGGATGGTCCAGGTCGAGGACCATGTCCGTGAGCTACGTCGGGACGACGTCGCCCTTAGAACCAAGAGGTTCTACCACTCAGATTCCAGAGGAATTGACTTTAGATTATGCGGAATTACCTTCGATCTCGCCACTTCCACTCTGGACGCTTTTGATAGCCGACAAGGAAACGAACATGCTTCATCAGCAGAACGAGGAGAAGAACGATTACAATGAACTGTTCGATGGTAATGTGGACGAGGGAGACTCCCTCGACGACATGCTGGACGAGGATTACGACTGCACTCGGCAAAAGGATCGAAGGTCTTCCGTACCAGAGAGACAAGGAATATCGCACTTTGGTCCACGGCAGGGCAGATTCCTCTCGCGTCTTTTGACGCACACCCACTTGCCGGGATTGTCCAGCCTCGATCAAATGCATCTTCTCGCACTGGCCGACACTGTCTCGACCTGCAACATTGACTTCGCGGAGCGCTTCGCTATCGACGCAGCCAAGAGTGCCATCGCCAAGGAAAATTTAACGGGGATTCCCGAGGGAGAGGCCGTCTCGATGGACTCTCTCGACGACTGCGGTCTGAGGTTCCTTCTGGCCATGAAGCATTACAATTACTTGATTCGGTGCTTGCCAATTGCGCAGAGGGCACAGTTCCAGATGCAGGGCGTCTCGACAAACAATCTCGTCTGGGCTTTCCATTCGGAGTCCGAGGAGGAACTGCTCGGCTTGATACCGTCCTATGCCAAAGGCCAACCCAAGTGGTGCATCCTGAAGGAACTTGGCGTAGGGTGGTGGATCAGAAGCAATACTGTCCTTAAGCTCTGCATCGAGAAGGTCGCAAAGGCGGCTTTTCAAGATAAGCAAGATCCGTTGGACGCTGCCATTTACTATCTAGCAATGAAGAAGAAGAATTTGGTCTGGGGTCTATTTAGGAACAAACGGGACGACAGGATGACGAGTTTCTTCGCTAATAACTTTGCCGAGGACAGGTGGAGGAAGGCTGCTCTGAAAAATGCATTCGCCCTTTTGGGTAAACAGAGATTCGAACACGCCGCTGCCTTCTTTTTACTTGCCGGCGCATTGAGAGATGCGATTGACGTCTGCCTGAATAAACTTAATGACATTCAGTTGGCTATGGTGATCGCGAGGCTCTACGAGGAAGACATGACGTCGCCTAATTTGAAGAGATTATTGTACGAGGAAATTTTGGGTTGCGACAGCGAGGGAAACAATCCAGATCTGCACATGGCCCATCCTGATCCATTTCTACGTAGTATGGCTTTGTGGATTCTGAAGGATTATTCAGGATCGTTGAACACGCTGCTCTTGACGAATGTCGGGACCATGCATCCTCAGTACAATGACGAATCGGAGAAACCTGAAGGCGCTACAGGTATACCAAGAATTGTTTTTAATAATCTCAGAACCTATTCAAACAAAGTTGTGCTTTAATTTCGGTTTTTCTTTCAGCGAATCCTAATGTATTCAACTTTTACGTCTACCTTCGTACACATCCGTTGTTGATTAGACAATACATTGCGTCCACTGCCCAAGATAAAAAGAAGGGCCACTCCGTTGTTATTTCCGGATTTAGTTATGGAGTGGAAACAAAGAGTCTACCGGACAAACAATTGATGCTCGAAGACAGTATAACGCCCCTGGAGAGGCAGCTGTACTTCACGACGGCCCATGCGCACTTCAAGGCCGGATGTCCAGCACTTGCCCTCGAAGTACTATCAAAATTGCCGAATAAAGTGTTGGATACAAACTGTGATGACTCCCCCAGTAAGTTGAAACTCGATAAAGTCAAATATTTGCTCTTCCTCGTCTTTCATCGCTTCAACCCGATATTCATAAAGTGTCGGTCATGATACCACATTGTAGTTTTAGGTCTTTTGAATAGTCCCAACAAGTCACGAGCGCAGGACGCTCAAATTGATACGGGAATAATTAGTTGGGATGATAGCAGTAATAAGACGACGGCTGCACCGGGTATGTGAATTACCTTGTCTCATCCACTGGAGTGAATATTTTCACCTAAGTCTAATAACGTTTGGGGATCGGTTGGTGATTTTTGGAATTTCGTAGGACCCTCCCCGGCTGTAGACTGGGGTGCCTCAGGAATGGATTGGTCAGAGCCGGTTAAGTCTCGAACCGATGATGAGTTAGTGTTGAAGTGGGATGATGATGATGATCCTGTCGACAATGAGGATGCCGACAGTCCTCCTATGAGTATGAAACTGGACAAGCAGGAGGGCACCGAAATTGACAAGCAGGAGAAGGATGGTCAGAGAGCTTTTTTTTTCGTCTCTTATAATCCTTTTGCTCTTACTAATGAGTCGCTTTCTTTGTAGAAGATCCTGCGAAACAGACTGGGCAGCTCGATATAATGGCGCAACAATTAAAGTTCGTGGCCTGTCTAAAAATTCTCATGGAGGAACTATCGACTTTGGCAACCGGTTTCGAGGTGGACGGAGGGCAACTTCGATATCAACTTTACGTGTGGCTCGAGAGAGAAGTAGATGCCCTGCGACAACTATGCAGCTACAGTACTAGCGTGGACGGAGATATCAATAATGTTTCAGAATGTAATTTATGAATGAAAAGTTTATTGTCCTCTCTTGATATGTCTCCGAACCTTCGAGCTAATTCGTATATCGGATTTTTTAGACGAAGGTGGAATGGTGGATGACATACCGTCTTACAGACCAGGTGAACAACCAACGTTGCATGAAATTCTGGTCGCTGAAAAACTAGACTTCGAAGCAAAGGTTCAAAGAGCAGCTAGAAGAAAAAAGTGGTTGAAAGGTATTTGATTAATATTTTAATGACTCCTTGAGGAATTGTGGAAATATCTTTAACATCGCGCTTACGTTACTCTTAGCCAACGAGACTCTGCTACGAACACTGTTGTCCTACTGCTCCCTCCACGGTGCATCCGGAGGTGGATTGGCTTCGGTAAGGATGGAATTGGTTCTGTTATTACAAGAATTGCAGCAAGAGAAGACTCAACAACAATTGCTCAGCCCTCTACCGTTCCCAACGACTTTACCTTTACTGAGCGCTAGCGTGGCTTGCAACAAGACAGTTGTTGCGGATCCCGTCAGGCACTTGCAGTCGTTGGCTCACGATATGCTTCAAACAATAGTGGAGCTGCGGAGCACGCCTATGCCAAACAGAAATAGCCACTACAGCGAGGTATTCACGTTACGGGACTTGGCTGTAGCGCTGAGTGCGTGCATCTATCAATCCCTTTGCGATTCCGATACCTTCGTGATGAAGCATCAGCAACCTGACAGGTAAAATACACGGACACCTGTGCGATCGTACGTTGAGACCTATGCAATCTCAATGAATATTATTCTTGTAGTTTCCCTGCTGGTGCTGAAGTGGAAACGTTCTCTGGTGGGCATTTGGTCGCATCCAATAGATACCATCGACGATATTCTACCGACGACGGAGTCTGCATCACTACCTCGCCCGCAAAATGGCCAGGTGTCACCAACTTACGTGCCCTTCTTGCACGAGAAAAGGATGAAGATACACCTAACCTGAATATCCTGCTTTGCGAAGCATTCGTGGCGACCTACATGAGTCTCTTCGTCTACGCTTTGGCCAGTTGCGACAGTCATATTCTTTATAGACTGGTCGGTCAAAAATTTGACAATAGTACGTGGTCTTGTCTGTTCGGGGGTGGCGTCAAGAAATTACTCCGCGTAGCGAGTACCAGCAGTCAGGTAGGTGAAATAGAACGTCCTTTGGTTTTCGAGTGAAAACTAAAGTGAAAATTACTTTTCTTTTTGTGTCTATATTACGCAGGCCGGAGTTAGCTGCAGGGTGGAGAGGGTCGATAGTGTTTCGAGCGAAACGCAGAGCACCGGTGGGATGTGGAACACGATGACGTCGTTAACGAAACAGCGCGTTCGATTAAACATGAAGCTACTCGGACAATTTACTGGACAACAGCCCAATATGAAGGAGGACAAACCCACCTACAGGGAACAGTTTGTCTCGCCACAAATGAGCATGATTTCATATTTTTTAATGAAGGTAAGGTACTCTCACTTTGAGGACGAGGAAGAATGAATAAGAATTTCACTTGCAATAATATAGATCTTTAGGAGTAACGTGCGATGTCTTGTCCAGTTAATTTGAATTTTCTTCTTTGCCGTTTGCACAGCCTCGCATCGAAGGCGATGACGCCGATGAAATTGATTACGATTCCTCGGACTCGGTAATTTCCGATCTGGATTCTTCCGAGGACGAAGAGGATGTTTTTGACACAAACGCCAAACCAAAGAGCAAGCCAAAGGATAACACTGAACATACTAATCCTACCTCACATAGTTGGTGCATTATGCGGTTAGCCATAGTTAAGATACTCCAGCAGCAACTGCAAGATTTCTTAAATGTCGCTGGAATCGAGATGCAAGGTACTGTTTGCCAAGTTTTCCTAAATTCATTTGATATCACAGGACCGTTAAACCTTTCAGAATTGCCTGTGAGCAGCCCGTTGATACACGGGACATTGGGCATCGTGGCCCAGTGGCAGGAAGCCTTGCGAGAGGAGCTGGAGGCGAAAGGTCCGCCGCCCGCGAACTACATACCAGGATGTGCGCCGGATCCGGCAGCTACACCAGGACGACCTGCAATTCACAAATATCGTTCCTTGTTAGAAAGGGGCAACACTCCATTCAAGTATGTACCTTCTAAAGCTCACAGATACTCAGGACTCTTATGAAATATTAATCGAATCTCAATGGTAGCACTCGGATGGCGTCAGCCGCTCCTGCGAATCGGCTATGGTGTTACTTGGTAAGACAGGAGTTGGTACAAGACATCTTTATCCGTTCAGTATTTGGAAAGCGGCGCTCCTTGTCCTCGATATTGGACAACAATCAAACGGCGGTCGACGGCATGACTCGTGGTACTAGTGCGGCCGAAGATAAAGGTAGCGATAGTGGCACCGCGAGTCTTCTCGAGCCCGTCAGGATCATCCACAAGGAGCAAGATAGTATTAGTGCCTTCTGCCTCAATCAGGTTTGTTCTTTGGTTTTTCTCAACAGTATACTGCTATTCGCTGAGGCTACATTGAATTTAAACGATATATATTACTATATAATGAACTTTGGCACAAAGGTCAATCCAGGTTTGATGGCACTGGCAACACCTCGCGAGATTCAGGAAATGGATATCTCCCTGCTGTTGGAGTTGCCATCGTGGTTGGAGGATGAGTGCGAATTCGACATCATTAATTTGAACAAGCAGCCCGATCCAGAGTCTGTACAACCAACCAGTTTCCTAGTCATACAGGTAGTATACCAGTTGCCTTTTTGTCAGACACGGAACGTGGCACATCGCACGTTTGTCACATTTGCCAGATTTGATATTAATATTGTCTTTGGCTCAGACGGCAGCGGACCGACCACTCCTCGCACAAAGTCCACAGCCGAATAGTCCTCAGCCACAATCGGGCATTGCAAGTCAAAGCGGACGCGGAGCCAGTGTGGTAAGTTTCTATAGGGGCTCTAAGCTTTACGGCCGTCCTACGCCGCCATTTCTACGTGTCTATGTTGATCCCTCGATATCGACGAACGAACGCCCTAAGATTTTCGTCACAGCTTTCCGCCATTTATTTTCCTCGAACAATGGTCAATAGTCAATTCTCGATCGTTACAATCATTTGCCATCTAGTACCACTGTTCATAACGTTTTGACGTAGAAGTATATCCCAGCATTCACCTTTTTTTTCTTTGACATTTCTTAGAGGATGAACGGTTCGAGTCCGAAGATGAAAGAGTCCAATCGTTTGAAACTCGACTTGCATCGCACTACCTAGGTATATTATTGGCGGGAAGGGATGAGATATCGGTTTCATTGATATAGTTTGAAGTCGTGTTCAAATACGACTACCCCGTTACGGATTTACTCGGCTATTATACTATAACCGTTTCGACCTGTCACACGATTTCACGAATCTTACGATACGCACCATTGCCGTGACCCTTAATCGATTAACTGCAACACCAAACAGTAAAAAAGACTCGCTGAGGCCAATCATTGATAAATTAATTATTAGTCGAGGCTGCTGCGAATCGCTGGTAACTCTCGTCGTTTCGTGCAACTGTCATGGTTATTACTTGCAACGCGTCAAGCAGGCCATGACGATCAGATCCTAAGAGAAGTTGAAATAACTTGGCTGCGGAGTAATTTGATTCAGGTGTTGATTTGCACATCCAACGAATAGAGGCGAAGAGAACATGTGTAGTAATAAATCCAGTTGCTAATAGGGACAGCAGCCTCGACAATCGCGCGCGACATGTCCGAGTTGACTTGGGTGAGACTCTCGTGTTGCATGAAGTGCAAAAGTGAAAAGTTGCATCGTGCCGTGCCGTGCCCCACACCTTGGGGCATTGCTTGGCGCAAGGCTGGCTCGTTCGAAGGTACTTAAGACATCTGGTGCCTCGTAAAACCAGCCAAGCGGTCACGAATGTGACCTGTTGGTTGGGTTATGGGGGTAGCACAAGTGGTGACGGAGACAATGTTGCTTGTTCAATGCTTGCCTAACACCTAACTTGGTCTGCGTCACTGATCTGGCGGCTCACTCGTTCGCTCAGATGAAGGGGATGCCCGCTTTCCCTGGCTCCCACGACCTGCGCTTCTGTCAGTTTGTCGCTGATAGGAGCAAACACTTGTTGAAGCCGGTGAGACAAACATCTAACAGACCCTAACCAATCCTAGTGGCGATTCCGTATTCGTCAGTTGTTTCTTTAGCGACACAGTTGGCTCTGGTCTCCGATATCACTGTGCGTATGCATGGATGAGCATATGCTACTCCATGCTGGTGATACAGCCTCCGTGGAAAATTCGTTGGGTGCGCAAATTACGAAGATGTGGGAGGCCAGATGCCATCGCCAAGAGATACGCAGGCTCCTATATTTCAAGAGTGCTGCACCTCTCTCGTTGGATTGCAGAGTACAGTTTTATCTAACTCTTTGCTCTTGTGTAGTTTCGAAATTTCTCGCATGAAACGAAGCCCTCTTGAATAAGCAGCCTCGATATCGGTTTACATTTAAAAGTTCAGGCATGAGGTTAGATTATAAGCGAGTACAGAGATCATCCAGAAGTTTCTTTTGAAATTTCATATTGCAAACATCAAAGAAAGCCCAATGTATTTTAAACGTTTTCTTATTGCATTCTGTATTTTGTCCGATCGAGAACCTCTGAGTGATTGTGTCGGTGCTATCTGACAATTGAGTTGCACAGACGTAGATAGATTAGTCGCTTAACGCTCGTAAACGCAGCTCTGATCACTTGCGAGACAACAACGTAGTACCGTCGTCTCTTTCAGTTCAGTGGAAGGTACGAGAATGATCGCTTGGCTAAAGTCACGCTTCTACACTTCGCATTGAAGAATCGAGAACAGGAGTGTCTCTAGCCAATTTTGCGATGGCCCATTAGAGTAGTCGATTATATCGGGAATTCAATTTGATGTCCGATCACGATAGTAGTATATGTATACACCTTTTGACATCTAATGGGCCGTTCTCAACTACCACGAGAGATTCACTATTTGAGATACTCCAATGAATTAGGGTGCCAAGGTACTGCCTTCAGTCGCATGCTACGCCAGGATTTGGCAGGTCCCTCCAAGTCCTTGCTGTTTGTTGCGTTAAGGGATCGAATCATTTAAGATTTATTGTTTAGTCCAGCCTTTTATAAATACTCTTGGCATTATCATTTCATTGAGTTGACGATGTATGAATGTTAGCGATTATGAGAATCGAGCTTTACACGAAACTCAGCATACCATCTTTTATTCTAACAGATCTTGAAGCACAAAGTCGATGGTATAAGGAGAGTCTCTTCGCATCCGCTATTACCGCTGTGTAAGCATATCCTCTTAACACATTCAATTGCAGAATAGGAGTTTCAATCTCATAATTCTTGATCGTCCCTGTTTCTAGACTTAACTGGATCTCAAGATGGTTCGGTATCCCTTTGGGAATGGGGCCATCAAACTGCAGTCGCAACTCCTCGGCCAGCAGGAACTTTTGCCAAGGTGACTCGCGTGCGATTTGCTCAGCACGGCAACAAATTTGGTGTTGCCGATTCGGATGGCCACCTCAGTCTGTTCCAAGTGGCCTGCAGAGAAGGAACAGCCAGACCATTCTTCGTGAGTCAACCCTATCCTTCTTCGTCGGTCCTTAGCCGTCGACGACTCTTTCATTATTCTTTTCGCCCTTATAGAATTATCAGTGTCACAGTAAGGTCACGGCTGACTTCGTCTTTTTGGGAGCATGCAGTTTGGTCGCCACTGCGGGACACGGCTCGGAAGGACGTAACGTAGCCCTCTGGGATACTCTGCTTCCACAGAATAAGTCTCTTGTGCAAGGTTCAGTAATTCTGCCTCCACTTCGATGGATGATTTGCATAAAAGACTGTTAGTCAAATGATCGATTTCACGTTGTTAGGGTTCGTTTGCCACGATCAAGGTGCCAGCTGTGTTGTACTAGCACCGCAGCATCAGCTGCTGATCAGCGGTGGGAAGAAGGGCGATATCAACATTTTTGACGTCCGACAGCGTCAGCAACGACAAAGATTTCAAGCCCACGAATCTGCGATCAAGTGTCTGGCACTTGATCCTCACGAAGAGTTCTTCGTTAGTGGAGCCGGAGATGGTGACATTAAGGTGACGTAATGATTTATCAATTTGCTTTGCTCATTTTCATCCTTTCCCTACAATCTAACGTAGGTTTGGGGTTTGACCGTCCATTCTCTTCTCTATTCATTTCCCGGGGAGCATGCCAGGTCCAGTTTCTTCAAAAACATTGGTCAGGTACGTAACTCCTTTATCCGTATTTAATTTGCGAGGAAGCTCGACATTAAGGGAACTCAATTATTTCAGGGTGTCACTCAACTGCAAGTGGATTCGTCAGGGCGTTTGTTCTCATGTGGAGCGGACGGATCCATGAAAGTTCGTCAACTGCCAGAACGTGACTGTATCGTGCACACCCTTTATTAGGATTAACCAATAACTCGCTTAATCCTATCCGAGTGAGTAAGCAAATCAAGGCAACCAATGTTTGATTTTTCTATCTAACGTTGGGTTTCCTATCTCATGCTAGAACATACTGTGTGAGCGTCAATCTATTTCAGAGTTCCAGCTGGGCTCATGGTCCGACAATGAGTTTAAATGGTAGGGCGACGCTCACTTACCAAGTATTGGACCAGTCGGAAGTGATTGTGAACGCCTCGAAATTCTGTATTTTTACCTGTGATGCCTGGTATCTCGAGGAACGCACATTTTTGCATTTCTTGAGCTTTACATTCGACTGGGCAGGCCTAGTACTCTAGTGCCAATGGGCTCAGGGCTACAGCTTCCTTCTTTCCCTGCGTTGTACATCAGTTCAAATATTTCCCACAGCGATATCTTGTCCCAGGGGAGTAAAGTTTATTTCAGCAGGTTTAATGGCTAGATAATGTAGAGAAAAAAAAGAAGGACTCTGCTTCTTTATGTCAACCGCAAGACGGAGAAGCTAAATCATCCTGTGCGGACGCATTGTATTTTAATCGACGCCTAATGCAACCCCGAAGATGAATCTATGATACATAATAGTGTGCGTGTGTGTGCGCGTGAGGGAGAGAGAGAGAGAGTGTGTGAGAGGGGGGGGGGGGGGGTCCTTTT